ATAATTAATAACTTATTCAATTTTGCTTTTGAATAACGATATAACACATGCTATAATTATTCATATACGAATAATCCACCAAAAGACGTGTACCATTTATAATCCATACTATACACTGAGTAATAATATATAACACAACCCTATAATCCCTCCATACACCCAATGCTTCTATAATTCCCAACCACAGGATCAGAAAAATTCCACAAAGATTATTATTATTATTATTTGTGGAGGTATATCATTGATGACGTTCGTGGGCATCATAGCAGCGGCCATCATTATCATAGATGTATGTATAATTATCGGAGATGTCGGTAGAAGCCCTAATTGCCCCGCCCCGCTACAATTTAAAACAGTTCAATTTTTAAAAACATATTTGTGGTTCCACGCTGGAAATCTTGGCATAATTGGGTAGGAAATAATGTTGGTAAATATTATATATTATTATTTTTTATTTATTTATTTTTTTATTTTATTTATTTTTTAACCATGAGAGTTGAAATGTTGACGTTGGATAATTTATGCATTTATGCCGGGTTAACTTTATTTATTGTATTAGTTTATTTATTTTTTATTTTATGCATCTAATTAATAATTATTTTTTTTATTATTACATCTGATTTATATGAAAGATTTTGATTTTAATAAGATTTATATACCCCAAAAAATAATTGTAATTTGCCAAAGAGAAGTTTTTCTTTAACTTCAATAGACACTAAGACAAATTGATCGATTATTATTGTACTTTGAAAAAAGAAATATATAGAATTATAGAAAATACTTACAATTTCAATAATACATAGGACGAACACACACACACACAAACACACACAGAGTAACAGAGAAAAGTTACTTATGAGTGTACTTATATGATTCTCTAAAGTACACTTATCTCCAGTTATGTCAAGTTCTCTCAAGTAAATTCACTACATATAAGTAATAATCAACCTCCCTCCCTAAACACACACACACACACACACACACTTTCCATGCTATGAGTCTCTCTATATAAGTACACTTCACACAAATTATGAGGAGGTTTAGTAAAAGTACCAAATCCTTTCTGTAAATTCCGACGCCTCTGTGGTAGAGATATAAAATGAGTAATGCTATTTTTCTTTTCTTTTTTTTCCCACATTAATTAATAACCAAGCGAGTCCCAGGTACCAGAATATCCATTAACTTTCGGCGTATTTAATAAAACCGCGTTGTGAAATTTTACCCCAAAGTGCATCGATAAAAGGTTAAAAAAATTTCAGAGAGAGAGAGAGAGAGAGAGAGAGAGTTTTTGTAAATCATGTTTGATAATTATTTTGTTTTGGGTTTTATTTCTTGTAGGTATTTTCTTCGTATATTTTATTTGTGTTCCTGTATAAATTAAATTGTTTTTGTTTTCGTTGTTTCGGGTTTCTTTGTTATGCTGTAGTATAAAGAATAATCTTCATGTTTTGTAAATGAAAAAAAAAAAGAATTTGTTTACCTGCAGTGTTATTGATGATTATATAATTTTAATTCCTATAAATTACATTGATTTTTTAGCAATTACCTCAATAATATTTTACCATTTGTGACATCATCTAATACAAAGGTCAACCGTGGGTCATTAACAACTAAAATTCTGCCTGAAAAGAAAACCTCACTACAGTCATAATAAATAGTAAATACGCATCTATTTCCTAATGGTTTTAATAATCATTTTGCGTGTACATCATCCTAACCTTGAAATATGTCCCAAACCTTAATTACAATCTCGCTACATATTTCCACTTCAAATATTCTCCTAAGTTAGTTCTGAACATCTCAAGTCTTATTCCTAGTATCGTAGACTTTATTTCATCGTAACTCTTGGAGAACAGATCGTAGACATAAAAGTTAGTAAACATGTACCCCTCCATACGGTCACCTGCCCTAATAAATAACATGAATAGAGAAACCCGGTCTGATTTTTTTTTCGCTGGAAATATCGAATGCCACGATATAATATTTCGCCGACTATAGATTTAGCATACCTGTACTTTCAACTTGTCATGCTATTATACTGTATATATTATCTAGTCTAAGATGATTTATAGAATGAGAGGGAATAGAAATACGATTTAATAAAGGAATTAGATAGAAGATATTCCACACTAAATAGGGAAGAGAGAAAATACTTGTTTAATGATGACAATATATATTTTATATAATAATAATGTTTCTTATATCTCTCTTATTCTCGAGTCTTTCCTTATACAATTTTATCATTCCTGTGCTTCTTATCTTGTTATTCCCATCTCTCCCACACCCTCTCTGTTCCTCCTCCTACGTCTTCACTATCATTTCCACTATTCTCTTCTCTTCACCCTCTTCCCCATAACACCCAGATTCCAAGATGACGCAGAGTCCACAAAAAACACTCAACACACAGCAATAATTATACTCAATACCGATATATTTTTTATTGCGGTATATCTATATTATTTAAGGCTTAATCTGTCATATATTATATTTTTCGGATATACTGTGTTTTATATTAATTAAAGCCGTATTACATTATACCAAAGGCCTTTAATTATTTACGGATAGATGTTTAATATATAATTCATAACATTACCGTATAAAATGTTGTATGTGGTTGTGTGAGGAATTAGTGGAAAGAATTAATGTATATTGTGAGTTTGTGTTGTGTAGGTGTTATTATTGTATAGGTTTTATTGTTGTAATTATGTATTTTATTACACACAAACAAAGACACACACACACACACACACACACACACACACACACACACACACACACACACACATAAACAGACACAGACACACACACACACACATAAACAGACAGACAGACACACACACACACACATACAAAACAGACACACACACACACATACATAAACAGACAGACAGACACACACACATAAACAGACAGACAGAGACACATAAACAGACAGACAGACACACACACATAAACAGACAGACAGACACACACACATAAACAGACAGACAGACACACACACATAAACAGACAGACAGACACACACACATGAACAGACAGACAGACACACACACAGTTATTAATTAATGATGAACTAAATTACCTTACACACATACAAAAGAACTAAAGCTACTGAACTAAACCAAAAAACAAACAAAAAATAATAATAAAAACACTCTTTCATACCGTTTCAAACACAACAAACAACAGAGGCGTATCTTAGCTATATTTTTTATTTGTTAATTAGTTTATGAACCAACTATAAATTTACTTGTTTAAAGACCTTAGTTGTTGAAGCATAGACACACACATTAACAAAGACAACAGGTTTATCAAGATACCATTATATTACATTAATTTGTTGAGGTATAATCCTAAACACACCTTAGTGACTTTTAAGACCCTTGGCAGTCATAATGATTAATATAGTAAGACAATAACAAATGGAAAGATTAATTTGAGTCACCTGAAGATTAGATTACCTTGGTTTATTTCACCTTTGATTAACCACCCAAACACTATTTTGGGAAGATGAGGTTAGGTTAGGTTAGGTTAGCATTAGGATACGAAAGATTAGGTTAGGTTAGGTTACGTGTTTAAACAGTAAGATCATGTGAACTGAGAGCATAAGAGGCAGCTGTCTTGTACTGTAATACTTATAGACCGATTATTGTATTTTCATCACATTTCTTTGTTTTCTGTCTAAATGCTGTCTCCTGTCTATAGCTGTTTTCTGTCTGAACTGTTTCCTGTTAATAGCTGTTTGCTATAACTCCCCTGTCTATATTTGTCCCGTCCATATTTGTTCCTTCTTTATACCTGTCTCCTGTCTATAGCTGTCTCCTGTCTATAGCTGTCTCCTATCTATAGCTGTCTCCTGTTTATACCTGTTTCCTGTCTATACCCGTCTCTTGTTTATACCTGTCTCCTGTCTATAACTGTCTTCCGTTTATCTGTCTATAACTGCCTCCTGTTTATACCTGCCTCCTGTCATCACCGGTCCTGTCTACGCTTATCTTTAATCTAAGTCTAATGAATAACTTCTATGAATAAACTATCATAACCGCTTGAGTACGATGACGACGCCTTGAGTACAGATGTCATCGTACTCAAGGGAATTTGGTCATCGTATTCTAATAGTGATGAAGTCTTTGTATTCAAGGGATTTAAGTTATCTTACTAGGCTAATTAACTGTACTCAAAAGGGAAGTATTCACTGGGCTAATACAATGTACTCACGGGATTGATATCGTACTCAAGTGGTTTAAAAAATACACATTATTCACCTACGTCTTGATTTTAAAACTTGATTACGTTTTTAAAAATATAAATAAATTAAAACTTACAAAACTAACAATAATATAAGATCTTTTAAAAATTTATAATAATTATTTATCTATATTAAATTGTTCAGGTTAATTATTATTTTTTTTTTTTTGAGATTTAACATAATTAGACAAAACAAAATAATTAGCGTTAGTTTCTCAGTGTTCAGTCCGCTGTTGAGAGGTAAACAATGAAACTCTTTATAAAATGTTCTTTGTGACCAATTTAATGTTCTTATTGGCAAATGTTTTTGTTTAATTTTAGTTTCGTTACTGTTGTTTTTTGTACGTTATTATTGTATTTATTCCTTTATTTATTTGTTTATGTTCTGTATATTGTACGATAGTTTCTAGTTTTGTACGATTCTTCTTAATTCGAATGGGATAAATTTCTGAAGCTCTTATAATCGTTTTCTTTAGCTTAATATAATAACACTTACTATATCTATTACTTATACACTTAGAATTACCACTTATAATGTTTATTTTAGACGCCATTAATTTACAACTATAACCCATACATTTACGTTTACCATTTACACACGTAACTATCATTTACAGATTTACGAACTTACTGAAAATAATCACAGGATAACTTAGTTTGGTTATTCTTGGTCGTATTGACTTACTGTTTACCACTGCATACCTGTACTATCAATCTATCTATCTAATGATCTCTCTATCTATCTATTACAGACTAGGGTTGATGAGCCACATGTCAGCACTGGCCCGACATCCCTTTCTCTCACTCTACCCGGAGTTGGGAGGAGTCACCCCTACCTCCCCCATGACACCCTTAGGGGGAATGGGTGTACCCCTAGCAGCCAAGTCCCCGTGGTACCCACCCTGGGCCCTGCCACCCCTAGCAGCCTTCGCCTCTGCTAGGGAGAAAGATACAGGTGAGTTTATTATACTTTGACACCTGTTTTGATATACTTTGACACCTGTTTTGAATACATTGACACCTGTTTCGTATACGTTGACACCTGTTTTGGTATACTTTGACACCTGTTTTGAATACTGACACCTGTTTTATATACTTTGACATCTGTTTTGTATACTTTAACATCTGTTTTGTATACTTTGACACCTGTTTTGTATACTTTGACATCTGTTTTGTATACTTTGACACCTGTTTTGAATACTGACACCTGTTTTATATACTTTGACATCTGTTTTGATATACTTTGACATCTGTTTTGTATACTTTGACATCTGTTTTGTATACTTTGACACCTGTTTTGATATACTTTGACACCTGTTTTGTATACTTTGACACCTGTTTTGATATACTTTGACATCTGTTTTGATATACTTTGACACCAGTTTTGAATACATTGACACCTGTTTTGTATACTTTGACATCTGTTTTGATATACTTTGACATCTGTTTTGTATACTTTGACATCTGTTTTGTATACTTTGACACCTGTTTTGTATACTTTGACGCCTGTTTTGATATACTTTGACACCGGTTTTGAATACATTGACACCTGTTTTGTATACTTTGACATCTGTTTTGATATACTTTGACATCTGTTTTGTATACTTTGACATCTGTTTTGTATACTTTGACACCTGTTTTGTATACTTTGACGCCTGTTTTGAATACATTGACACCTGTTTTATATACTTTGACACTGTTTTGTATACATTGACACCTGTTTGTATACTTTGACACCTGTTTTGATATACTTTGACACCTGTTTTGTATACTTTGACACCTGTTTTGAATACTGACACCTATTTTATATACTTTGACACCTGTTTTGATATACGTTGACATCTCTTTTGTATACTTTGACACCTGTTTTGATATACTTTGACACCTGTTTTTATATACTTTGACGCCTGTTTTGAATACATTGACACGTTTCGTATACTTTGACACCTGTTTTGGTATACTTTAACACCTGTTTTGAATACTTTGACACCTGTTTTATATACTTTGACACCTGTTTTGTATACTTTGACATCTGTTTTGTATACTTTGACACCTGTTTTGATATACTTTGACATCTGTTTTGTATAATTTGACACCTGTTTTGTATACCTTGACACCTGTTTTATATACTTTGACACCTGTTTTGATATACGTTGACATCTCTTTTGTATACTTTGACACCTGTTTTATATACTTTTGACACCTGGTTTATATACTTTGACACCTGTTTTGTATACTTTGACACCTGTTATATACTTTGACACCTGTTATATACTTTGACACCTGTTATATACTTTGACACCTGTTATATACTTTGACACCTGGTTTATACTCATATATCGTCTGTGGTATAGTTAATAAGAAGTGGAGTACTGGTGGAAGAGGTGGAGGTGGGTGGCGGGAGGTGGGCGGTAGAGGGTGGGCGTGTAAGTGTAATTGGTGACATCATTACCACAATATCTCTATCTATCTCGTCTGCCATATATTTCCATCCCTCCTGCCTGCTTTAACCACCCTCTTGTTATGGTTCTTATTCCCTATGATTAATTGGTTCGAAAATCTAATCTAACCTAAACTAAACTACTTTTCCTTTCCTCTCCTCTTTCTATCCTCATCCTTCCCTATTCCCTTTCTGTTCCTCTCCTACTCCTCTCTGTGTCTTAGCTCCGTTGTTGTCTGTTACACATCCAACTCACATGCAGGCAACAGTAGCATTAAAATAGTTCACTTAGAATTGTTAATTATTGGTGGATTAGCATAATTACTAACGTAGTTACTCGTTTAAAGACCTTGGTTTTCGACGAGCAATAATAGCATTATAGCATCAACAGCAGTAGACGCAGCTGCAGCAGTAGAACCATCAGCAGGGTCGTCCGCCAGTCCCTGTTTGACTTCAATCAAGGTAAACGCGGCCTCGCAGCTCCACAAACGGCCGCGTTCAAACATCAAGAAATCAGTTTTGTCTGATTTTAATGCACCTTCAAACGGCGGCCCTGAGTCGTTTCATTGAGATTGGATAGGAGAAATAAAACTCGTCCGACGCGTGCTATTTTCCTTCCTTCCTCCTCCTCCCTCCCGGCCCCACCTCCACACTTTTCATCCAGCGAGCGGCCAACTTTTGATGTGTCAATTTAGGAATGATTCCACGAGTAGCAGCAGCAGCGCCGCCAATCTCTGCAAGATTGTTGCCAATTTATTTTCCTGAACTCTGGCTGTGGGGGTGTGTGGCCATGGAGTTGAAAACACACACACACAGAACGGAAAAAAAAAATAATGAAGCGACGGGGAAAACTTGATGATTGAAAACTTGATGATTGGAGTGGTTAAAGGAGAGATAACGAGGGATAAGACAGAAAGAAAAAAATGTAAGGTTAAGACAATTGGGTTTGCGTTATTGCACATCTTAGATTACTATTAACGGAGTTTCTGTATAATTATTTAACAATTATCTTTAATATCTATCATTTCAGTCAATACAATTATTGTCAGCTTCTCACATTTTTACACAGCGAAATTCACATCTACAGTGACATAAACTGGACATAAACAAAATCCTTCCGTCCTCCGCTCGCCATTATCTCTCCTCTTATCTCCCGGTTACGTCGTTGAGAACACTATGGCGTGCTTGTCTGGTTTCCCTTAATGCATAAACCGTCTCTAGCGCAACCTGGAGCCAAATAGACCTTGACTCCAAGCATAAAGAAGTACATCAAACTGTATTTTATCATCTTATGTTGGAGTTACACTACTGAGGACTGGTGGTATAGAGGGAGGGAGGGAGGGAGAGGAGGCGGAGTATGTGTGTTATAACCGGGTTGTAAGCCATGCCGCCTATTACAGATGGACCAGATAAGCCAGATAGCTCTCTCTGGCATCATCTTGTGTTGCCTGATTTAGAGACGCTTTCTCATTATCACCCGGCCATTCAGAGCGCCAAGTTAAAAAATACTCTAGCCTAGCATAAAGACGGACCCGTCCATGAAGGAAGAAAAATATTAACGCCAGGACTTGTTCATTAACGATTACACTTACTATTCACTAGGAATTATAAGAGTCTGAACTGTGATTTAAGTTCCGTCTAAATGCTCTCCCTCTCTCTCGCCTCTCTCTCTCTCTCTCTCTCTCTCTCTCTTATTTCAAATGAAGGCTAAAATTGTTCATTAAATATTACACTATTCAGAAGGAGATATAAAGAATCGGAACTGTAATTTTAGTTCCGTCTAAATGCCTCTCTTTCTCTCATTCTATCTCTCTCTTACTCACTCACTCTCTTTTTCTCTCTCTCACTTCAAAGCGATAGTATTGTGGAGGACGCGATCAAAAGACAGTTTCCTCTTTTTGAATTTTGGCGCCTTTTCCTTTGGCTCGCCTCCCACAGCGTGTGATTGGCGAACAATGGGCACTTACGCGGATTAATCCTAGTAATGGCAGCCCCCCTTCTGCGTTCGTTTACCCTCACCGCCGACTTCACTTCAGTTTTTTCGTTATTTCGTCAGTTTCGCCGAGATCGCATCGCTCTCTGGCGTCGGGTGATACGTTTCTTGATTATCAGGAGCAAATTGGATTATTAGTTCGTGCCGGCTGAGCTATAAAGGACAATGCAACGCCGCAACACAACAAAGGAAGCCCACGCCGGAACGGGACGGTGTCAAGGATTGTGTTACATTGGAGAGATTTGACGAGCGCTGTTTAAACTAGTCCCTCTGTCTCGCATTGACGGCCGTTCCAATCCCTTTCTTTACGGCTTCCACACCTCAGATTAATCCTACAAGACTTCCCCTAAGCTAAGAAAAAAAAAAGAACCCAACTATTTACCAAATTCGCAAATCGAAACGGGACGAATTACCGCCAAACTTGGGTTAAAAAAAAGTAGTCGCGTTTTTTCGGAGGGTTAAATGAGGTAGCTGTTAAGACAGTCGTAACAGGTGATGGGTAGCGGAAGTCGGAGCCATGTTGGGGAGTGCGGACACAGGTTTTAGGTAGTAAGGTGTATTACAAGGGTGATGAGTGAGGGAACATGGGTGGCTCAACGTGCTCTCACTCCCTCCCCCCCTCTACCTGCCCTCCCTACAGTCTCTCTCTCTCTTATCTTCGTTTCTCGGAATATTGTGATTAACTCCTGCACCCCTGTTATTACTACTACTACTAATAATAATAAATACAGCAACACATTCTTATAATCCACAAGCAATAATTTATAAATGTTACTTAAATTTCTAGAACGCTAATTAATGCTCCGTAACATTAAATGGCGTTCCTTAAGGTTCAAACTCAATACCACTCACTAAAATGTTACTTAAAAATACTACAACGTTCCGTAAACCTTTTCCAGAGTTGAGTAACTAACTTTTTCCCTCAGGCATTGTTACTGCTCCTTTAAAAACGCACTAGATGTTCCTTTAGTGATATGTACTCGATATAATGGTGTCCCGTAGCGATGTTCCATAGGGGAGAGGGGTGATGGAGGGTGGGGAGACGGGAGATATGTAAGAGAAAGGGAGGAAGGAGGGGAGGGAAGAGGAAGGATAGGGAGGAAACGAAGGAAGGAAGGGAGGGAAGAGAAAGGATGAGGAGGGATGGAAGAGAGAAGGAAGAGGAAGGATGGAAGAGAAGGGGAGGGGAGAGGGAGAGGAGGGGGGATAGATCAGCGACAGAGGAAGGGCTACATGTACAGTATGTAAATAGGGCACCACCGCTACGCCACTATTGTGCTCACCACTATGCTGCACCACAAAAGGCTGACCAGAGGGAAGAGGGGAAGTGAAAGGGGGAAAGGAGAGAGAGATAGAAAGAAAAGGAGGGGGAAAAGGAAGGAGAAAAAGGAAGAAGGGAGAGAGAATGGGTGAAAGGAAAGGAGGGGATGTGAGAGATAGAGAGAGGAGAGGAGATTGAGAAGGGAAAGGGGGAGGGAGGGAAGAGGAAGGGAGAGAGGAAAAGAGGGGAGGACTTAATAACGAATAAGAGGAAATTTTAAAGAAAGATGATGCACTGAATAATTTGATTACTTTCTCCTGTAGTAAAGGTATGAAAATATTACTTTTTACGAACTTGTACAGTACACACATCTTCCGTACTGTTGGGCTTACTATGTTTTACAGACCTTGAATATTTGTTTGTTTACATATATAAGTTGATTAACCTATTATAGATGTTTGTTTACTTCTCTCATCTGACTGGTTGTTTACTTTTCAGGGTCGCCAGCTGGTGGAGGTCCAGGGAGTCCCCTGAGTGAGGCGCCCGTGGAAGTGGTTCGTTCTCGCTCTCCCTCGCCACTCGCCCGTTCACCTTCACCACCCCCCTCGCCACCCTCGCCCTCATCTAGGGATGACCACCATCGGGCGGGGGACGCAGACGGCGTAGGGGGCGTGGGTAGCAGCAGTGGCGGTGCGGCGTCCACGAATAGCGGAGGCGCGGGAGACGACGCCGACGAAGACCGTAAGCGACGCAAGAAGAAGACGCGGACGGTGTTCTCGAGGTCTCAGGTGTTCCAGCTGGAGAGTACCTTTGACATGAAGCGCTACCTCTCCTCCTCTGAGCGGGCGGGGCTGGCTGCCTCCCTCCACCTCACAGAGACACAAGTCAAGATATGGTTCCAAAATCGACGCAACAAGTGGAAGAGACAGCTGGCGGCTGAGCTGGAGGCCGCCAACATGGCCCACGCCGCTCAGCGCCTCGTGCGAGTGCCTATCTTGTACCACGACGGGTCTACATCTGAGAACGCCCACACCCCGCCAGCGCCGCCCCAACCCCCAGGCCTTCCCCCACAGCCTACAGCCCTCCCGCCCTACTCCCTCTACTATCCCCCCGTCAGCTCAGCCTACGCCACTACCGTACAGGCGCCCACACCCGTCAGACCCACCCTCTCCTCCCTCGTGTAAGCACCCCCTCCCTCCCTCCCTCGTCGCCTCCACGACCTTCGGAAAAACAATCCCCTAAGACCCCTCGCAACTCATAGTTGGGTCATACCCCCACAACACCACCTTGACAACATGGCGGTGTTGTAACAGCGCAAAGAGTGAATGTGTTTGTTATATTTCTGCATCCCCGCTCCCTGTACTTCTAAGACCTCCTCCTCTCCCTAACTACACCTCCCCACACAACCACGCAAGGAACCACTCAACCGCGACGACAACCAAGTCGAATAAAGTGAGTCAGAGTATCTCCACAAAGTGACCAAAGAAACCCAAACTTTTCGGTGGTAGAGAAGGACGACCTTCATCGTTGGCCAAGACGCTACTCATGCACAGCGCAGACAATTACTGACCAATGGGAACACGCGGCATCGACGGGCCAGTGACAATAGCAGTGTGTTTCCGAACTCGCCAAGTGTATGTGTGTGTGTGTGTGTATCTACGTCAAGACAGGAAAAGTGATGTTTGCTAGATATTTATGTTGCCACAATGTTTAATTAAACTCTAGTGATGATAAAAGTTGTACAAAATAATGGATGTAAAGTGTAAATATTGAATATATCTCTATTTATTGTTTTCTTTTTCTTAGTCATTTCTTATTTTATTGTTGGTTTCCGACTAACTGGTAAAAGAATAATAATTTTCACCTCAATTTACAAAACAAATACAAACATTTTTCAACCGAATTTACATAAATACAAAATTATCAATTCAGTTTACCCCCAAAAAAAAATAATCACCTGAATCTACATAAACAATAAGTTTCAACACAATTTACAAATGAAATAAAAGAAAGTCAATATAGTTTAAATACAGTTAATTTTCCTAACATACTTCACACGAAACTAAAACAATGTTAATATAAATTTACCTAAAAAACAAACAATAATTTTCAATCAACAATCCATAAGAAATTAAACAAAATTCAGCGGACTTAACAAAGAAAAATTACAATAATTATAATCGATAATTATCAACAGTAATTATATGTAAAAAAAAGTGATTTTTAACCAATTTACATGAATTTTACAGTTAAACTTATGGTGACTTATTTACAATTCATTTATGTTGAATTATTTACAGTTAACCTACAGTGAGTTACCTACAGATAATTCATAGAGGATTATTAACGGTTATCTTAGTTATTGGTTTACTGTTAAATTAGGTACAGTATTGACCTACCGTTAATTATTTCAGTTTGTAAACAGTGAATAACCTGCGGTTAACTTACCATGAATGATTTACACCCCAGTAAGTAGTGACTTAAGTACTGTACTGTTCACTACTAATGAATTACTTAGACATTTTACATTCTATGATTTACATTTACAAATTTGATTTACACTGCATGATTTACAACTACTTTCCATTTACAATCAACACTGAATTATTTGTTACCGACCCCCCACCCAGTGATCGATTTATATTTAAGGTGAATGATTTACAGTTTATTAACATCAATTTACAGTGTGTGATTCAACAACAAGTGACTTCCAGTGAATGAAGATTTACAATGGTTATTTTGACGATAGTGCCAAGAGAAGCTTTCTTTACCAAGATCAATGTACATATCATTAGCTTAACTCAAATGTCAGATTATCCAAACCTGATTATTAAATGTTTTAAATTATTGGAGTATTATCATTTAACCCTCAACTCATAAAATAAATCTAAAACAACAAAATATCCTTATCAATACTATAAATTAAAAGAATTATTATAACTAATAATTTCTATAAAGATCTGTTATTTTTTTTTATAAGGAATATTTTAGGTATGATATTTATTTAATTATAAACATGATTCAGTTAAGTAATCAAGAATATATATTTCACTTTGGACATATCATGACGATGGGTATTACGAGTGTTCTAATGTATGTGTGTGTGTGTGTGTGTGTGTGTGTGTGTGTGTGTGTGTGTGTGAGAGAGAGAGAACAAATATCCTAATGACTTATGGAACGATATAGATTAACCTCGGATGGGATTTGTTGATATGAACGAATGGTGTTTAGTAGGAAGTACACATGGTAGATGGTACAGTGGATGGATGGTACAAATGATCAATGGTACAATGGCTGGATGGTGTGGACAATTGATCAATGGTACAATGGATGGATGGATCGATGGTACATGGATGGTACAGTGGATGGATGGTACAATTGATCGATGGTACAGTGGATGGATGGTACAATTGATCGATGGTACAGTGGGTGGATGGTACAATTGATCGATGGTACAGTGGGTGGATGGTACAATGATCGATGGTACATGGATGGATGATCGATGATGGTACAGTGGTGTGGATGGTACAATGATCGGTACATTGATCGATGGTACGATGGTGACAATTGATTGATGGTACAATTGATCGATGGTGGATGGATGGTACAATTGATCGATGGTACGATGGTGTGGTGGATGGATGGTACAATTGATCGATGGTACAGAGGATGGATGGTACAATTGATCGATGGAGGGAGGATGGATGGTACAATTGATCGATGGTACAGTGGATGGATGGTACAATTGATCGATGATGATGGATGGATGGTACGATTGATACGATGTCGATGGGATGGATGGGTGGATGGTAGGATGGATGTGATCGATGGTACAGTGATGGATGGTACAATTGATCGATGGTACAGTGGAGTGGATGGTACAATTGATCGATGGTACAGTGGGTGGATGGTATAATTGATCGGTGATACAGATGATGGATGGATAAACCGATGGTACAGTGGATGGATGGTACAATTGATCGATGGCAGTGGATGGTACAGTGGTGGATTGATCGATGGTACAGTGGTGGATGGTACACCGATCGATGGTACAGTGGTGATGGTACAAGGATGGATGGTCGATGATACAGTGATGGATGTTCAGTGGATGGATGGTGATCGATGGTACAGTGATGGATGGTACCGATGGGTGGGGATGGTACAATTGATCGATGGTACGGTGGATGGATGGTACAATTGATCGATGATACAGTGGGTGGATGGTACAACTGATCGATGGTACAGTGGGTGGATGGTACAATTGATCGATGGTACAGTGGGTGGATGGTACAACTGATCGATGGTACAGTGGGTGGATGGTACAACTGATCGATGGTACAGTGGATGGATGGTACAATTGATCGATGGTACAGAGGATGGATGGTACAGTGGGTGGATGGTACAATTGATCGATGGTACGGTGGGTGGATGGTACAATTGATCGATGGTACAGAGGATGGATGGTACAGTGGGTGGATGGTACAATTGATCGATGATACAGTGGGTGGATGGTACAATTGATCGATGGTACAGTGGGTGGATGGTACAATTGATCGATGATACAGTGGATGGATGGTACAATTGGTCCATGATACAGTGGGTGGATGGTACAACTGATCGATGGTACAGTGGATGGATGGTACAATTGATCGATGATACAGTGGGTGGATGGTACAATTGATCGATGGTACAGTGGGTGGATGGTACAACTGATCGATGGTACAGTGGGTGGATGGTACAATTGATCGATGGTACAGTGGGTGGATGGTACAACTGATCGTTGGTACGGTGGATGGATGGTACAATTGATCGATGGTACAGTGGGTGGATGGTACAACTGATCGTTGGTACGGTGGATGGATGGTACAATTGATCGATGATACAGTGGGTGGATGGTACAATTGATCGATGATACAGTGGTGGATGGTACAATTGATCGATGATACAGTGGATGGATGGTACAATTGGTCCATGGTTACTGGTGTTGAATGGTGTCAGTGGATGATTGTACAAATGATCGAGGGTAATATTTTTAATGGCACAACTGATCGACGGTACTGTGGATGGATGGTACAATTAATCGATGGTAAAGTGGATGCTATAATGGATTAATGGTACAATAGATAGATGCTACAACAAATGGATGGCACAACAGATGGTACAGAAGGTAGGTGGTACAAGGATTACAACAGATGGACGGTACAATGGCCGAGGTACCCACAGTGCACCCAGCTGTGAATAGGGTACTACCTGACCCTACAGTTCGGTTAGGCTAAGTTAGGGTTAGGTTAGGTTAAGATAAGTTGCTAGGTTATTTTGCTGGTTAGTTTGAGCTAATATTCAGGTAAAATAAGCTGGGGTGTCTAATCTTCATGTGAAATGAGCTGGAATGTCTAATATTCAGGTGAAATAAGCTGGAATGTCCAATATTTATGTGAAATAAGCTAGAATACCTAATATTCAGGTGAATTAAGCTGGAGTGTCTAATCTTCATGAGGAATAAGCTGGAATGTCTAATATTCAGGTGAAATAATCTGGAATGTCTAATAGTCATGTGAAATAAGCTGGGGTGTCTAATCTTCATGTGAAATAAGCTGGAATGTCTAATATTCAGGTGAATTAAGATGGGGTGTCTAATCGTCATGTGAAATAAGCTGGAATGTCTAATATTCAGGTGAAATAAGTGGAATGTCTAATATTCATGTGAAATAAGCTGAATACCTAATATTCAGGTGAATTAAGTGGAGTGTCTAATCTTCAAGAGGAATAAGCTGGAATGTCTAATATTCAGGTGAAATAATCTGGAATGTCTAATATTCATGTGAAATAAGCTGGGGTGTCTAATCTTCATGTGAAATAAGCTGGAATGTCTAATATTCAGGTAAAATAAGCTGGGGTGTCTAATCTTCAGGTGATCATAAACACAGCTACACAACTATACAGATTAATGTTCGAATCTTGTTTACTTCACTGGTATCCACCTCCCCTGTTGCGTTCTGAGCTATTATGTGGTCCGTGAGGGCTGCCGTGAGCTTAACTGAGTTTTGATGTTCGGTGGCAGCAATCTCCTCTGGATTGGTCAATCCCATTCTTCCCAGTCTCGGTCGTAGTGCAAGGAGTGATCTTTTTGCTGGGGTTAAGTGAGGGTGTTTCACTAATTTGGTAATGAAATTGACACTGATAGCTGCTTCCAGAGGGTGGAGGAGGGGTCCGATATCAGGACTAGTGCGCATCAGGTACTTCCAGCGATGCTTGGCTCCATGGGTGAATGCCGCAAAAGCCGCATGTGGCTCTGTGTTAACAATCTCAGACAGTGCCTGGATTTCCTAACCCGCTCATTCATCTTTCCCGTTACGTATTCGGTCTTGAAGTCCGTCGTGCCGATTACTGCGCCTAGTAGTCTTTGGCCTTCCTTTGTTATTTTGACCTCACTTCCACCGAACACCTCCATTGCCCGTTCATAATGTTCTGGCTTCACAATGAGGAAGGACTTGCTGGCGAGTGGGTGGGTACCCTACTTGTGGGCCTCGTGATGTTACCAGGTCCCACCACTTTTTAATGTCCTCCACTTTTCCTGCTCCTGTATGGTTTACTTGTTACTACTACTACTACTACTTTCATCACTACTACTACAAATAAACTTCCAGTGAATTAACCGCGACCCAAAGTTTTTATCTTAGAGGAAAAAATATAACTGAATCCACTTAAAAATGTATTTAATAACCTTAATTCCTTCAATGAGTTGTTAAGTAACTTTTAAAACAATTAATCACGAACCTTTTAGCAATACGTAAATCGAACGAAGTACAATGA